ACAAATTGTGAAGTAATAGCATTGTAGTTGTTTAATTGTATGTCCCCCGAGGAGACAGCGGTAAGTTTACTGACCTAAAATTCGGGGTTCGATTCCCCGCGGTGGACACAGCAGATAGCCTAATGAGGCTTCTCTCTCTCTCTACTAAAACAAACTAGTTGATCGTATAGCATCGTGGTTAAAAGTTTCAACGTCCGTGTTCAAAGCCATTACGATTCTGAAGCAGAAAGCAAATGTAAGATTGAGAGAGAAAATAACTAGGGTATTTTCCATACGTTAAGCCTAATTTAACAGGTTGACTGGAATGTGCTGCAAGTCTAACATAATTGTACTTCAGCCGGAGATACAGTTCAGTTCGTGTGTTTCCACGTAAAACGGTTTAATCCTCTGTTTACGGGACGACTTTTTCCTTCCTTTTTTTCCATTGCGTCCCAACAAGAGCGCTAGTAATTTGACAGAAGTAAGTCAACGTTGCTGTGGAGCCAGTTAAGTGTAAAATGTGCCCATAAGTATGGGGAAGGAAAAAAGAAATTTGGAGGAAGTCATGTTACATAAGTCTTAGTCGCAATGATTTGTTTGTTTGTAATTAAGCACAAAAGAGCACAATGGGCTATATGTGCTCTGCCAACCACGGGTATCGAAACCCGGATTCTAGCGTTGTAAGTCCGCAGACATACCGCTGTGCCGCTAGGGGGGCATCTGCAATAATTACGGCTCACACTTATTTGATTTCGCAACATCCAAAGGCATAGCTGATTTCAACAATGCACGTGTATTATTTGTTGTTTAGTGGCAGTAAATTGAAGTTTTTTATTGATTTATTATTATTACTTTAATTACGCAGTAAGCTGCCTGATATTTATGTTTTTAAGAACTGCCGTTTTGTCCACTCTCTCGACCCAAACTGTTATGGAGAACTTGTGTGCCAGTTTTAGGGTCATTCCTCCCCTTTTAAGATTTAATTTGATAGAAAAAAACGAAAACGTGTTTGTGTATTGATATATATTATTTTCTTCACAATTAAAGAAGAGTAGTCCAAGAGTTGGCGGTGGGTGGTGATGACTAGCTGCCTTCCCTCTAGTCTTACACTGCTAAATTAGGGACGGTAGCGCAGATAGCCCTCGTGCAGCTTTGCGCGAAATTGAAAACCAAGCAAACAAACAATCACAATTAAAGAAACTATCAACGTATGTGATTACACATCAGTTACAGCGCCATCTATGTATTGTCAGTATCATTGTGGAGACGCCGAACATAAAAAAAGTCAATCATGGTCATGAACGGAGACACTAGAAAGTCCACAAAGACGACATCGAACGAAACTGTTCTAAGTCTCTTGTTTTATTGCAAATAACAACGGACAGTTTCAGAAATGGGAAAGTGTTTATAGTTCTACAGTTTAACGATTATATATATATAGAAATAAACATTGTCGACGACAACAACAACAACAAAAAAAACGTAGTGTTTTAGCACAGTTACAGATGTGTGAAGGACGAGGGCTTGCCCAGTACATTTACCCTTGCGATAATTAATGTTATACCACGCCTCCAGATTTTTCGCTTTTTACAACCGTGTATAATTAGAAATTACGCAGACCAGTTGTTTTACTAACTATTGGCGCATGAAGATACGCGCGTAACCACACACCCCCCCCCTTTATCCGGCCCAACACCCTTGTAACGTTTGATTTTAGAACTCGGTTAAACGTAGTAGCCATGGGTGTCCTGCAGAAATTTTTACAGGGAGGGTCAAAGTAGTGTGAAATTGTTAATTGAATAAAAGATTCATTTATATATATATATGCTGAATGAATAAAGAAAGAATTATGTTTCTCGTTTTCCGGGGGGGGGAGTGCCCCCACTTCGGACACCCATGGTAGTAGCTGTATTCGTGTGAACAAAACAGACACATGATTAGGTTCTGACCTCTGTGAAGTAAAGAGGGATTAAACTGGTTATTGGTTAAATAAAAGAACCTAATTTGTCGCGAAAATCTAAACAGGTTATTTATTTATTTTTTAGTGATGAAACCTTATAATCTGTAGTGAAGCGTCGGTATCAAAAGTACAGAAAACCGTATTTGTTTGGATTAACCACATCACAGCTGTAACACATGCATAGTTTATATTTACTCCAGAGTTTTTCTTTAAAAGTTTGTGAAACCTGTAAACTTCATAGTTAATGTCGAAATGGTTGTAAAGTCTTGCTGAATATTAACACAGGCCCTTTTCAAATCGGTTATAGGGACTTATCTTACCACAAGCCCTTTTCAAAGCGGTTGTAGGGTCTTGCTGGATATTAACACAGGTCCTTTTCAAATCGGTTGAAGGGTCTTGTTATCTTACCACAAACCCTTTTCGAATCGGTTGTAGGGTCTTGTTATCTTACCACAAACCCTTTTCGAACGGTTGAACGTATAGCACGAAATTACAATGAAACAGCCAGTCATCACTGACAAACTAAACTGTAATTACTTCAGTCAGAATTACGCAGTTGTTAAATGTTTTCCAGGAGTTACAACACCTGTGGTAACAACGAGTAACCTACCAGGACTTGTCAATCTTATTGTTGTTGTTTTTTTAACCCCATTTCTAGTACACTGCCGCATTGAAAACAAGCACAGTATATGCATATGGTAAATTGTGTCCAATGTTTAAAGGATCTGCTTGAGAAAGTGCTGAGTTAATTTTCGTCATTGATGTTTGGTTATCATGTTTTACGCATACGCCGATTTTTGTGCATTCTCCATCTTTGGGAGGGCATGAACACGTCGTGTTAATTGTACTAGCTGAACTAGAGGGCCTATGGTAAGATAACAAGACCCTACAACCGTTTTGAAAAGGGCTTGTAGTAAGATAACAAGACCCTTCAACCGATTCGAAAAGGTTTGTGGTAAGATAACAAGATCCTAGTTTTATCAACATTATTTCTTCTACCTTGACGTGACCAATCTTTCGCTTGTTTTTGACATTCAATTATGCTGTTATAAAGTAAAACATGTTCGACAATGATTAACGGTGAAATAAGTGTTAAATATTTTCAACTTCAGTAACAGTTGTGATATAATTAAATGGCTTAGTGGTCGGGATGCTTGGACTGTGGATCCGAGGGTTTATGGTTCGCGTCTCTTTTTTGTAAAAGCATTCGATTCGCATTATTTGGCCATGAGTGCGCTATAAGAGTGGGCGGTGTTGACTACTTACCTTTCCTGTTAGTTCAAAATAAGAGTCGTGTATGGCTTTACACGATGCCCTAAAATACATAAACAAAACAAAGATAAAGTTACGTACTTGAGTTGTTTTTATTTTATTTTAATATAAGAATAACAGTAACAGTCTTGATAAAAAATTAGGAAAATTACCCTCAGGAAAAGCAGGAGAATGTATGAAATTTAATCTAGAACCCCAAAGCTTTCAAGACCCTAAGGTGAGCCCTGTATCCTGGCTGTAATGGTTGTGCCTGTGGTTAGGGTGCTCGACTCGCAATCTTAGGGTCGCGGGTTCGAATCCCCGTCCCACAAAACATGCTCGCCCTTTCAGCCGTGGGAGCGTTATAATGTCACAGTCAATCCCACTATTCGTTGGTAAAAGAGTAGCCCAAGAGTTGGCGGTGGGTGGTGATGACTAGCTGCCTTCCCTCTGGGTTTACACTGCTAAATTAGGGACGGCTAGCGCAGATAGCCCTCGTGTAGCTTTGCGCGAAATTCATAACAAACAAACTAACAGTACTTAATGTTCTAGGCCAAACTTTGTTTCCGCTCGTGTTATCATAAATGTGATTAATAAACAACCGTGACAGAAATAAATATTCACCAAATCACTCGTGATGCTTGTTTTATATTAAAAGTAAGTGTTAATGTTAGCTTTCTCTAAGGACATCCAGATAATAACTTTGGTAATCATTAATATTGGCATTTGAAATAATTGACGAAGCGTTTGAATTGAAAGCTACCGTTATGATAATACCGTGTAAAAATTTATTTCTGGTTTGTTTAATAAAGTAATTTACCTTCTAGGTTTTTATTTCTCGATGTTCCTTTAGATTTTTTTTAAATTGTGGATAACCAGCATGTAAACATTTTGTAGTTTGTCTTTTAGACATTTACACTTTGCAACTTGCGCCATCTATTGACAGATATGTCTAATTATGATGATTTTACAAAAGTCAACGGCGTTTCTGGGAAAACTATTTTTATATTTATCATTGTTTCCTCTTTCATTATAAGATAAATCTTTAATTTTTCATATTTCTTAAGAAATAATTAAAGAGTATTTGTTTTATTAAATTTATGCAACATTAAAATTATTTAATGATTCAAGACCATGAGAATTTTTTGAATTAATAACTACCACTATTTGAAAAAAAGCTAATACACTAATTTAATTTTTACTAAAGTGTTTTCAATATATTTAATTATTATGAATATTTTAGAGTAACTTGTCTCCTCTCTTCAGTAAGTTTACATGGCCAGGTGGTTAGGGTGCTTGACTGGCAAACTGAGGATCGAGGGTTCGAATCCCTGTCCCACCAAAAATGCTTGCCCTTTCATTTGTGGGGGAGTTATAATGTGATGGTCAATCCCACTATTCGTTGGTAAAAGAGTAGCCCAAGAGTTGGCGGTGGGTGGTGATGACTAGCTGCCTTCCCTCTAGTTTTACACTGCTGAATTAGGGATATCTAGCGTAGATAGCCCTCGTGTAGCTTTGCATAAAATTTGAAACAAACACACAAAGAGTAAGTCTATGGACTTTCAATTCTCAAAACTTGTGTCCGAGTCCCTTTGGGGATACAGCATCAATAACACACTGTGCAGCTTTGTGCTGAAATTAACAAATAAACTAGTCACTTTTAATCTAATATTTTTCTACTGCACACTACAGAGCCGAAATACAGTTTAAAAGATGGCATTTTATACATAATATTTATAGTTCACAAGTTTATATATTTTACAGGAATTAATGTGTAGTTGATTAAATGTCATGTCTCTTCTTTTATTAGGTTACCGCTGTTTCAAAGCTGTCATGTTTCTCACTGGGTTCATCTTTGGTTCTGTGGTGGTTTATCTGATATGTTTGGAAGAAAGCCTGCTTTCGACAGCTGGAAACTCTGGTGTAGCTCTTGGAGCGGGTCTGCTCTTTGGACTTATTACCATGTTAGTGCAATACGTAGGACTCTTCATGACGGGGTTTCACATGGGGTTGTTTGTTGGGGTGGCTTCCATCATGATAGCTTACCTGTGGTATTCACCCACTACAGTGTGGATTACAGTAGGGATCTTGCTAGGTTGTGGACTCGTGGGTGCTGTGGTCACTCTGTTCTTCCAGAAAGGTAGGCAATATCACGATCAGATATTTTATTCTTGTGGACAACTTCCTTTGTCGTTTCTTAGATTTGGCAGTTAAACACAAATTACTCTTTAATAAAACATGTTTCGTGCTTGATAACGTGTAAGTATATTTTTCATATTTGATTAAAATTATCTTTTGTATTCGTCGTTTATTTATTTTATTTTATTGAAAATAATCGTCAATACTTGAATCCAGGCTCCCCCTAGCCTACACGTGGAACACCGAGCCAAATTACTTTCCCTAACGAGATCCCGGGGTTTTAACCACCGACAAACCACGTGGTTTTCTTGACCATTACGGAGCTTGTTTCTAAAAATGAACTCTTATAAGATACTGGTTAACCTCCATATTTAATTTTATATTTTTGTCCAGTGAATTTACTTATATTTAAATCTAAAGAACTTTTTAGTGTTTTCTGAACTTTATATATATAAGTGTAGATGTAATTCTTGTTTAATGGATTTGTAAGGAGGGTTTTTAAGAGTTCAAAAATTATCACTACGATCCCCATATAAGCACTTGAAACTGAACAATAAAGAATGGGAAAAAAAAAGACATTTACTATTTACATGTCAAGAGCATATCACACTATGTCAAAATTTCTATATAAGGTTGTTAATGTGTTATCTACATTCATGTAAAACATTAAATAATCAGTCATACTATTGCTATAATATATGCTAATGCAAACTGACAATTTTGTCGCCACTGAGATTTTTTTGGAAGGGGGGGGGGTAAGTGTTAAAAGTTAGAGAGATGCTTGCCCTTTCAGCCATGGGGGCGTTATAATGTGACCAGCAATCCCACTATTTGTTGGTAATAGAGTAGCCCAAGAGTTGTCAGTAGGTGGTGATGACTAGCTGCCTTCTCTCTAGTCTTACACTGCTAAATTAGGGACGGCTAGCGCAGATAGCCCTCGTGTAGCTTTGCACGAAATTCAAAACAAACAAAAGTTAGAGAAGCATATATCAATCTATGTTGGGTAAAAAGGAGGGGGAGTTCTGTTTGAGAGTTCCAGGAACATTGGGTTGTCTGTTGCACTTCATCAGGCCATGGTTTCCTGATGACTTGAGTGTACTACTAACTTAACTGTAGGGATATGATAAGTAATGATTAGTTCACACAGCTTTCCAAGGGTTGTTTGTTACACACAATCAAACTTGTTAATAAAAAATTAATTTGAGGTCAAATTAATGACTGTTTGCTTTTGTAAGTAAATGTGTAAAGGAAGTTTATTTATTTATTTATTATGATTGTTTATTTTTCTGTTTTTGTAAGAGAATGATAAATTTTGACTCAAACTCCAAACAGACCCAGATATATTGTGAAAGTCTATAGTCTACAGAAATGTGTTTGTAAAGTTATTCAGTGAACCTGTACAACTTTGCATTGATACATAGTGTTGTGTAGAGGTATTTGTAGCCAGTGTGTTTGTGTGTATATAAATAGTTATTTACAATTAAAATGAATGGAACATTAAAATCGTACACAATAAATAGTTAAATAAAAACAGGGACTTGCTCTTAAATAACAACATATGTACCATCTTCAGTAGTCCTAGACACCGAAACATATGTAGCCTTTTTTTAGGGCAAACCCCTGTTTTTAATAAGTATTTATTGTGTAAGATTTTAAGGTTGCATTCATTTAATTGTAAATAGATGTTTTACACAAGTGTCATTTTTAAATTTTATATATATATATATAT